AAACAAAAAATTATGACAAGGCATGTAGACAGTAGAATACTATATTTATTTGGAAAAGAAGTTTTCGGCCAGTCCTCTGGCCTTCATCAGCATATTATGTATTAGTATATATATTTGTATGTATATACATATACATATATATAATATAAATCAAGATAGCCGTTAATACTGTTAAATTATATATATATATAAATCATCAAAGAAATGTAAATACAGTGTTCGAATAAAGGACATAATAAATACATCGTGTAGCATAGCTCTCAACGAATGTAGTCCTGTAAATAAATGAATAAAGAAATTGTGTAATAAAATTAAATTGTGTAATAAAATTCCCCTGGCGGGACTCGAACCTGCGACCTCTCGCTGTCAAGGCAAGCATCATAACCATTAGACCATTTTATTACCCAATTTCTTTATTCATTTATTTACATTACTACATTCGTTGAGAGCTATGCTACACGATGTATTATTATGTCCTTTATTCGAACACTGTATTTACATTTCTTTGATGATTTATATACATACATATATATATATATATATGACAAAGTATATATATATATATTCGTATGTATATTTATATCCATATATATATATATATATATATATATATATTGTGTATATATAAATAAATAAATATAGACTGTAGAATACTATATTTATTTGGAAAACATGCATCAAGGATTTTCAATAGCAAATATATCACTGTCTGGTAGGTGAAAATCCCTTGCACAAGAGAAGCATACACACGTGATGCTTTACAAAGACTAAATCTCAATATGAGGGTTATACTGTAGAATGGAATGACTGACATCTTAACCACTAAATTATTGAACTCCAATCCACAAACTTGATATTAAGAGTACAAAAAAAGACATTAAATTACACAAAATATTCATCATCTCACATAAGATTAAATTAGAAATGTTTTCATTATAATTTTCTTTTCTTGTAAAGTGCCTAGAAGTTCTCTTATGAAGTTGTCTATTAATGTAATATAATAATAATAATAATAATAATAATGGTTTTACTTTTTTAAATGCCTGAATGAATTTAAGTATATATATATATATATAATAGTATATATATAATATATAATATATATATAGTAATATAATTATTGCCATCATGTCATTTATTGCCTAACTAAATTATTTAAACAATATTAACATTATCTTTAGTTATCAAATACAAAAACCTTGAAAGAATTGCAAAAGCAAGTCATCGAATTGCACAACATACTTAGTATATCACAGGCATAAGATTACAAAAATAACAATAAAAAATTATTTTTTTTTTTTAGGAAAAACTCCGAATGCCTTGCAATTATGTAAAGAATTAAAATCCAATTCGGCTTTGTTCAAACGAAGAGTAATCTTTTCATATTTTCTTAATAAAGAAACTGGTAATCTTCTTGAACTGAAATCCTTGATAATAGAACCAAATGGACGTAAGTTGAGTAAGTGCTTGCATAATAACTATTGCTTACGTGTATATTTAAATAAGCTTTAAGTTAACATGTTCAATTTGCAAATTAAGATCAGGATTGTTCCATTTTATGTAAAGGTATTCTTTGATTTTCAATTTGATTTCATTGTTATCAATATCCAGTATAGAGAAACATTTCTTATCAGACAACCTTTTACATTTTCTGTTTGCGTTAAGGTGTTTAAGTACGTGTGAATTTTTATCCTTTCCAAGATGTTCACCAATCCTCGTAATTAATCTACGGCCTATATAGCCTATATAACTGGAATTACATCCAGCACATTTAAATTTATATACTACTGAGGATCGGGATTCATTGTATTTACGAGGATTTAATTACGTTGGTCAAACTTATTGTCAAACAAATCAATCTATCTATTTAATATTCAGCATAATAATTACCTATATATATATAGTCTACATGAAAAGTATTCGGTTCATTTCTGTTGTGTTTTTTGTTAACTGATGATGGGTTGAAGGTAACCCGAAACATGTCTTCCATTAAATCTTTTGTGTTATTTTTAAAATGCATTGTATTTTTTGTCAACTTACGTCCAAGGATTATGCACCATTTGGTTCTATTATCAAGGATTTCAGTTCAAGAAGATTACCAGTTTCTTTATTAAGGAAATATGAAAAGATTACTCTTCGTTTGAACAAAGCCGAATTGGATTTTAATTTTTTACATAATATCATAATTATTTTGTGTAAAATTTTGTAAGTGCGCCTAGGCTAGGCCTAGTAGCTTCAGTAGTACCTAGCCTAGTCTAGGCCTACGGC